TTGATTCTTTCTTTCCATCATGTGGGTCTGGGAGCTGAACGTCAGGCTTGGCAGTGACTACCCTTACTTGCCGATACCCTTTTCTTTGAGACAGGGTCTCATGCAGCCCAGACAAGCAACTCTTCTACCTGGAACTTGCTGTGTAAGCCAGGCTGGCCTCAACCTTGCAGACGCCTGCTTCTGCCCACTTTTCATTACAGTTACTAATCTGTGGGTGCGCACCACGGCTCCTACGCTGGGGTCAGAGGACAACGTGCAGGAGAACTGCCGCTCCTCTTCCCACCATTGGCTCTGGGGATGGAACTCAGGCTGCAGTCCTGACGACAGGGGCCCCAGCGCCGAGCCCTCTTCCCACCTCATCATTTATGTATTTCTAACCACCTTCTCTGTTCTCTCTGATTCTGTTATTGGAGAACAGCCCCGGGAAGCCTACAGTGGAGAAGGAAGTCTACGGCAGGAAAAAACAGAAGGAAACAGACAAGTGCTACTGATGGCGTAAAAAAAGGTATTTCCCTTTTAATTTTCTGTTTCCAAATGTCCACATTCAAAACAAAGGCTTGGCCGGGCCAGCGGTGGCGCACGCCTTTGATCCCAGCACTTGGGAGGCAGAGGCAAGCAGATCTCTTTGAGTTCGAGGCCAGCCTGGTCTACAGAATGAGATCCAGGACAGGCACCAAAACTACACAAAGAAACCCTGTCTCGAAAAACCAAAACAACAACAAAATAATAATAATAATTAAAAAAATAAAAAATAGAAACAAAGGCTTGGCCAGGTGTGATGGCACATGCCTTTAGTCCCAGAACCTGGAAGGCAGAGGCAGGTGGATCTCTGCAGGTTCAAGGCCAAACTGGTCTACACAGTCAATCCTAGACTTAACAAGGAGACCTTGTCTCAGAAAATAAAAACAAAAACATTTTAGCTGGGCATGCTGGAATTGGGGCCTTTAACCCCAATGTGGGGGAGAAGCAGGTGGAGACAGAGGCAGGTATAGAATAGCCTTATCTACAGAGTGAGCCCCTGCCTCTGCACACCCTGGCAGACCAGTCCTCCAAGTGTGGCGATGTGTCGGGGTATTGATGCTTTCTGTGACGATGGTACTATGGGGGTGGTGACTGGCAAACAGGAGGAAGGGACCGAGACGGACCGAGACCGCTAGATGCAACACAAAGACAGTCTGAGACCAAGAACGGCTCTTTCTGAAGTCCTGCCACACATTTTGTGTGGGTGGGAAATCTGGTTTCAACTCTCAAAGCCGAGAATACAACGCTATTCTAGTGTGTGCAGATTAGCACTGAGAATACACGAGTATTTATTTAGATAGTACACGTTTCCCCCAGAGAAGGTGAGTTAGGTCATCAGTTAACACTGGGTGGGGTGGGGAGGAGTGGAGGACCGCAGTGTACATGCAGAGGCCCACGGTGCAGGCCCTCTTTCCTTGCCTCCTGGCCTCTGTGTGTCCACGTGATCTGTGCACGAGTGTAGTGGTCAGATCCCACCAGGCGCCTTCCTCAATCCTCCTTTTTTAGTGTGAGTTTCCTCTGCTGTTTTTTTGTTCTTTTTTTAAAAGACAGAGAAAGGACCATGACACTCCCACTCAGACAATGCCCTTCCGACATGCGACATTCACAAATGAACGGGAGGTCTAAAGCCATCCAGACCTCGCCCTAGAGGAAGGCCCACAGCATGTCATACTAACTACTCTCTCAAATCTTCAAATTTTCAGATTATAGTCACTAAGGGCAAAACTCAAACATGTTGTATGTATCTCTGTATTTCTGGCAGGCGGCTCAGGCTTGTTCAAGACAGAAAGGCATGCTGCCTTCTTGCTGAATAGGCAGACAACATTCAGTTGGTAAAGAGCTTAAAGGAGGTGCAGATCTGCAGTGAATTCTGTCCTATTTCCACAACCCATGGACTCAAGCCCATCTGATTATCACACACAATGGCTCTCTCAGGAGCTGATGTGTATCCCCTCAGCTAGAGGAAGACACTCGGCCCCACATCTCACTCCCCCGCAGGACAGCAGGGCCCAGCAGGGAAAGGGAGTAGACACAACTACAGTGATCATTGCTCACAGGACTCGGGACCTGCTCGGGGCAGACGCCAGCCAGATTAGGTTGAGAGAAGGATTTGCTAAGGGATAAGAACAGCTCTCAGAATCACCGGGACATATAAGGAAACAGACCCGCAGGCCAAGGTTCCAGAAGCAATTCCCTAAAACACACTTTACAACTGGGCTGCCAAGGGGGCTGCTGCCTCGAGGATGGGCCAGATAAAATAAAAGCCAAAGAAACCAGGCAGCTCAGGGAGCGGACAGAGTAGCTGCCAACTGCTCAATCCTATCTCCTTTCCCAAAACACAGGCCACCAAGACAGGCCAGCTCCCTTCCTTGCCCCCTGGCTTCTGGCCCATGAACAAGACAGTCTATGCAAGGCTTTATTTATACTAGAACCTGTTTCCCAAGGAAACTGAGCTGCATCTACTCTAAGAGTCTGGAAAAAGCATTCTCTGGCCTTCTGGTTCCTTATGCACTGAGGGGACTAGAATGGATGTGGAGCTGGCCTACCTAGAGTCAAGCCCTCCAGAGCACTTTCCTGCCCTGTCAGAAAGCTTAGAACACCACTTCATACACATCAACAAAGGGGGGTTTCAGTCACCAGGACCCTATGCACACCAGTCTGCAGAGCAGGGATGGACTGGGGCTGGAACTCCCCATTTCTAACCGATGCTGGCCAATGCTGAGGTGCTAGTCTCCTAACCACACTCTTAGCAGCAGGGATTATGACCCAATCCTGTCTTTACAGGTACTGCCTTGTTGACACACAGGCCCATATGCTTACACACTGCACCCTCTATGGCCACTTCTACAACAGAGGTTGGTTGTGTGACACCTGTGCGGTGCTTCTGTCTAACTGACTGAAGTTACAGATTATCAGAGTCTCTAGACTTGAGCAGTCAACCTCAGGCAGAAGCTAGTTTGAGCATGATGTGAGAAACGGCTCTGCAACACCAAACAGCCTGCTGGGGTCCTGGGGAGGACCCTTTCCCTCCAAAGAGAGACCTGAGGAGAACATGCTCAGACCCCGTGTTTGAAGGGTGTGAGGACGGAACAGTGATGGCCAAGCTGCCACCACAAGGAGACAAGCCAAGGCAAACGCCCAAGTGAGAGCAGTGGGAAAGAAGGGCAGGGCGGACTCAGAGGGCCGGCCACTGCCGCAGGAGCCCCAGTCCAGCTGTAACTTTAGCAGCCCAGGTATGCGGAGACAGGCAGGACAAGAGTGACGGAGCCGGAAGTGGAGAAAGAATGTTCTGGGTAAGAAAACTCAGGGGGCTGAGAGATGGCTCAGAGGTTAAGAGCACTGACTGCTCTTCAGAGGTCCTGAGTTCAACTCCCAGCACCCACATGCTGGCTCACAACCATCTGTAGTGGAATCTGATGCCCCCTTCTGGCATGAAGGTATACATGCAGAACACTCATACATAAAATATAAATAAATTAAAAAATTAAAAAAAAAAAACCCCTCAGATGGCAGCCAGGTGATGGTGGTGCACGCCTTTAATCCCAGCACTCGGGAGACAGTCAGGCTGATCTCTGTGAGTTCAAGGCCAGCCTGGTCTACAGAGTGAGATCCAGAACAGGCTCCCAAACTACAGAGAAACCCTGTCTCGAAAACAAACAACAACAACAACAACAACAAAAAAAAAAAAAAAAAAAAAAGGAGGAGGAGGAAGAAGAGGAGGAGGAGGAGGAGGAGGAGGAGGAGGAGGAGGAGGAGGAGGAGGACTCACATGGCTTCAGCAAGAGCTCCACCAATAGGAACGCCAGGCAGGTTTCTGCTGTCGTCTGACATGGGCTCTTGTTGCTCAGGCTGCCTCCTACCTGATTCACTATGCTGCTGAAGAGGGCCTTGAACTTCTGATTCTCCTGCCTGTACCTTGTTAGTGCTAGGATTATAGGCACGGACCAGGATCCCAGCTTATACAGTGCTGGGACTGAACTCAGGGCTTCAGGCATGCTAAGTAACCACTCTGCAAACCGAGCCACGTCCCCAGCTGACAGAATCTTTCTGCTTGGTTTTGGTAGTGTTAGGAGTTGATCCTTGCATGTGCTAGGCAAGCACTTAACCACTGAACTGTATTTCCAGGCCTGGTATGTCCTGAGTGATACTTTATATGCCCATAAAATCAGGCTTAACTCCCTCTAGAACAAGCAAATAGAATTAAAGAATACTATGTGTGGCAAGGAAGTACATGGGGTCATGAACTCACACGCTGCATCATCCCAGGTCCTAAGTGAGGCGACACATGAAGAGCTGAGCTGGTGTTGCCACCACAGGCTGTGGAGAAACACCAGCTCCTTCCTCTTGGCTCGCTCCCCCCCCCCCCCCCCAGACTGTGAGCTTGTCTGGAGAGGGAAGAACTGCTGGGGGTTGAACTGGGTCTCACACATACTAGGAAAGCACTCTTCCACTGAGCCACACCCCAGCCCTCCTAGGTTTAAGTTCTCAAACTGAGGGAGTTCAGGACTCACATCTGGATTTTGTCCATCCCGTCATATTTAGGAAGGTGGAGAGGTGTGCTCAAGGAAATCAGCCTGTGTATGCTGCACACAATTTGACTAAAATCCGATCATCTCTCAAGCTGGACCATCCCCCAGCACTAGCTCACTAGCCATGGTGACAGGCACAGAAGCCAGGGCCTCATCCTCCTGTGGGTAACAGAATGAGCTACACTGACCAGCTGGCTCCTGTCTGCACTGATATTTGATCTATGACAAGTACCAGAGATGACGCTGGAAGAGAGCCACAAGAGGTCACAAAGTCCTGGCAGATATCACTCTACAGTCACTACCGACAGCCTTCCTCCTGCAGAGCACGCTGACCCTCCCTCCCATGTCACCACACGGCAGCAGCGAGGCTGTGGTGACCACGAATGCCATCTCTGTGCTCATGAGCACACTACTCAGTGGGTACCGACAGGACAGGCCCTCTACACATACCTCCTCACAGACTTCCCGGACCGCTGCCACACTGGGCTCCTCCTCGGGCTCCATGCCTCCTCCGGGGACAATCCATCGGTCTGGATGGCGGCTACTGCTCACAAGCAGCACCTGGAGTCAGAGGTCACAGGGAGGATTAAACATTCAAGAAAACACTCACAAATCAGTCCAGATAAAACAAACACCACAGTAACTACGAACCAGCTCTTGTTTCCACCTCCAAATAACTTTTTACGAGGCAGTGTCTTGTGTTGGGAACAGCAGGCACTCTGCCCGGTACATGCCAAGGGCATCTGCTGGGAACCACGGCGGGCTGTGGTCTGTACCCTTCCTCCACACTCCCCTCCCCTCCCCTCTCCTTGTTCTGAAGCCCTCAGAACACAGCCCTGCTGAGGTGAAAGTAAACAGGCACAACTGACAGCCTGGAAACGCTGCCGCCGAGGAGGACCGTGGAGGCACCACAGGGCTGAGCTCGCTCCTGGCTCTGGAGCAGCAGTCCTTCCACTACTGACCCGACACAACGACAGTGACGGGGGGGGGGGGGGGGCTCTGGTGATCTAGTTTATCTTTAAATGTTAACATTTCATACGATCATCTCGGGCAGAGTACAGCTGTGCACAGAGGCCAGAAGAGGACGGTGGATCCCTTATAGCTCTTTTTACAAACAGCTGTGAGCTGCCGTGTGGTGCTGGGAAATGAACCAGGGCACTCTGGAAGAGCAGCCAATAATCTTAACTGCTGAGTTATCTCTCCAGCCCTGGAGTTCTTTTATATTCTTTTTTTAAAAATTTAATTTATTTATATTCTTTTTTAAGGTATGGGTGCTCTGTCTGCATGTATACCTGCAGGCCAGAAGAGGGCATCAGATCTCATTACGGATGGTTGTGAGCCATCATGCGGTTGCTAGGAATTGAACTCAGGACCTCTGGAAGAGCAGCCAGTGCTCTTAACCACTGAGCCATTCTTTTTTAATGCATTCTAAATTCTGGGTGGCTGACACAATTAATTCCAGCACTCAGGTGGCAGAGGGAGTTGGATCTCTGAAAGTTCGAGGCCAGCCTGGTCTATGCGGCTGTGGTGATATATTATATACCCTAATAAAAATTGCCTGAAGATCAGAGAACAGAAGAAGCCACTAGATAAAACATAGAGGCCAGGCAGTGGTGGCACACACCCTTAATCCTAGCACTCGGGAGGCAGAGATCCGTCTGGATTTCTGTGAGTTCAAAGCCACCCTGGACTATATGAGATTGATTCAGTCTAGGAGAGAAACAGAGCCAGGCAGTGGTGGCACACACCTTTAATCACAATACTTGTGAGTCACACACCTTTAATCCCAGTGTCTGGGAAGCACACGTGCCATCCCAGCACTAGGAAGGAAGTGAAACGGCTGGGCAGAGAAAGGTACATAAGGCGCGAGGAGACGGGAACTAGAAGGCTTTTTGGCTGAAGGTTTTGTTTTTTTTTTTTTTTTCTGAGACAGGGTTTCTCTGTGTAGCTTTGCGCCTTTTCCTGGAACTCACTCTGTAGTCCAGGCTGGCCTCGAACTCACAGAGATCCGCCTGCCTCTGCCTCCCGAGTGCTGGGATTAAAGGCGTGCGCCACCACCGCCGCCCGGCTTGGCTGAAGACTCAGAGGCGTTCAGTCAGAGGATCTGTGGAGTTGTCGAGGTGAGACGTGGCAGTGGCTTGTCCCTTTGTCTCTTTGATCTTTGAGCAAATTTTATTAGAGTACACAACATATCACTGCACAGGGCGAGTTCCAGGACAGCCAAGCCTACAGAGAAGAAACCCTGTCTCAAAAAACCAAAGGAAGGAAGGAAGGAGGGAGGGAGGGAGAAAAGAAGAGGAGGAGGAGAACAGAAAGATGACACAGTGAGTTCCAAGACAGCTAGGGCTCTAGAGAAAGACCCTGTCTGGAAAAGAAAAAGAATGGGAAGACATGGCTGGACAGACGGCCCAGCACCTAAGTGGGCTTGCTGTTCTCAGAGGACTCAGTTTGGTTGCCAGCACTCACACTGGGTAGCTCATAACCACCTGTAACTCAGGGAATCTAACACCTTCCTCATGTGTACACACCCACACATACATACACAGAGTTTTTAAAAACTAATAAAAATAAACCTTTAAGGATTATAGTTTTACTAATTCTGACTTAACCAGCATTCTGATGATGGCTGAAATCAAAATGTTAATTCCTCCAGTTCCTCCACCATGCACTCTCTGGGACTCCCAGGTGAAGTTGCAGAAGAACTGCCATTATTTCTAAAGCTAAAGTAACGCCAACTGTCCTCGCACCTCACGTTCTGGTGACGACTGACCTCGCCCTGTTCTACATGCCTCTCCACCCAGCAGCCATCCTTGTTGCTGCAATGTGCTTCTGCCTTTGTGGCCCTCACAGATGTCACAAGGCCTTCTGGGTACTGACCTTCCAGCCCCCTTCCTTTCCTCCTGGGGGCTCTTGGAAACTCATCCTTGAATTCCCCTTTCCCTGTCATGAGAGAGTCTCCTGACATTCATCTATAAAATCTGTCATGTGCAGACAACGAGGAGGCAGGAATTGGGAAGGGGTCCACAGGCTCACATGCAGCACCGAGGAAGAGTCCATACTAACATCATGTACTTACAAAGCACTATCTGGAAAATGTGAGTTCTGACTTGAGTAGTATGATGTACTCCTCTGGTAATGAAAACACTGCAGGATCCTGCTAGTTCTAGCTGTGTGCACAGACTGCTCTGCTTCCTTGTTGTCATGGCCGAATACTCAACAAGAAAAGCAGGGCTTGTTTTCCTGCTTACAGTTGGAGGGACAAGTTCATCATGGCAGGGAAGCGTGGCTGTGGGGTGGTCCCACACCAGTGCAAGCAAAAGGCACCAGTTCACATCTCTGTGGGCCAGGAAGCAGAGACAAACTGAGCCCAGTATCTGCCAATTAGACCCAGGTCCAAAAGGGTTCCACAACCTTCCACAACAGTCCCACCAGCTAGGGCCAAATGTCAAACACAGCCTGTGAGGAACAGTTTGCATTCCAATCATATCCTTTATATGTAGTTTAAAAAAAAAAAAAAGCAACATGGACCATGAAATTTATCATTAAAAACAGAAGTTCTCATTGGACTCCTCCCTTAAATTAACATACAAACACTAACTCGAAATGGACTAGTAACCTAAATATAATTGCTAAAACCATGATGCACTGAGAAAAAAAAGAGGAAATCTCTGTAATTTCAGATGTAACAAGATACACCAAATTCTTCCTTTTTTTTGTTTTTTGTTTTTTGTTTGTTTTTTTAAGTTTCTTGAGACAAGGTCTCTCTGTGTAACCACTGTGGCTCTCCGGGAGCTCTGTAGACCAGCCTGGCCTTGAACTCATGGAGATCCACCTGCCTCTGCCTACTGAAAGCTGTGATTAAAGGACCTCAAAAGCACAAAATAAAAATAAGCTTGACTCCAAAATCCAAAAGCTCTATGTATCAAAGGACCTTATCAAGAAGGTAACAGCTGGGGGATAGAGAGACGGCTCAGAGGTTAAGAGCGCTGGTTGCTCTTAGTGGACCTGGGGGCAGGTCTCCACTTCCACTGCCAAGGGTGTCATGGGGTGGGGTGAGGGGAAGGGAGGAGAGGCAGGGAGAGGTTGTGGGTGCTCTAGAAATGTTTTCCCTAAAGAAATAAAATTTTACTTCATGTGTATGAGTGTTAGTGTACCATGTGCATGCCTGGTGCCCATGGAAGCCAGAAGAGTGCATCAGATCACCTATGACAGTTAAGAGCTAGGAATGGACGCAGGCTCCTCTTCCTCTGGAAGAGCAGGCAACAATGTAACCACTGAGCCATCTCTCCAGCACTAAAGAATGTTGTAAAGAACAGCTACCACACCTCTGCATAATTAATGACCCCTACAATGTTATGAGATGCTTAAAGCTGAAAAGGAAGGAAAATAAGTTGTTGAAAGTCAATCAATGATCACAGGCAATTCCTAGGATTTTAATGCTATTTTTCCTTCAAAAGTATCTACTTTAAAATTCTAAAGTTATTTTTCAGTCTAGAGGAGCTTAAAAAACCCTGCAGACGGCAGGACTGTCTAGTACAGCAGGTAACTCCCACCACTTCTACCTTGGGAGCAATAGTGTGTTTTAGAAACAATATGGAGAATCATTCTTCAGCATAGCCCACCCAGAGTATGTATGGGTGTAAAGGACACAATGGCTGACTCCATGGCCTGGGGAATTTGGAAAAAGCACTAGGGATGACCTAGCAGGCCAAGAAGAACTCTAAGCTCAACCTTCTAAGCAATGTCTGCTGGGAGAATTAAATATATTGGATACTCTGGTTTCTCAACATCACTGAAACAAATAAACAACAGCATTCCTGACCTCCACAATAGGGTACTCCCCGTCAGGGCTGAGCTGTAAGAGTGCACGGGAAAAGCCCTGCTGTGCACGGCCGAGTGTGCCTGGCCATATTCTCTATGTTCTCGGAAAGACAAGTTCACTGGAAACAAAGGCAAGCATCAATCAACTGTTCATGCTTCAACCTACCTTAAGATGTGAAAATTAAACCACAGGCGTGGTGCTTTCTTATTTACACAACAGGACAGGACATGGCCTTGTGTCACCAGACTGCTACTAACACATCAGTCCCACAAATGAAAAGAAAAATGTTCATCCCTCCCTCCAGACTTTTTCAGGCTTTTTTTTTTTCTTTTCTTTTTTTGAGACAGGGTTTCTCTGTGTAGCTTTGGCTGTCCTGTAAACTCCTGTAGACCAGGCTGGCCTCAAACTCACAGAGATCTGCCTGCCTCTGCCTCCCGAGTGCTGGGATTAAAGGTGTGTGCCACCACTGCCTGGCTTCTAAACCACTTGTAATTTTTTGTGTGTGTGTGTGTGCACGCGCGCGTGCTTGTGTATGTAGTTTTTTTAAAAATATATTTTATTTTTTATGTGCACTGGTGTAGGGGCGTCAGATCCCCTAGAACTAGAGTTACAGACAGCTGTGAGTGTTGGGAATTGAACCTGGGTCCTCTGAAAGAACATCCAGTGCTATTAACCACTAAGCCATCTCTTCAGTCCCCATTTGTAATTTTTAATTTACAGAAAAATTTCAAATATACTT